GGAACAATCAGATCTGGCAGATRCCTCAATACCGCTCACTCACTGTCCAGGATGCACCTTCCCACACCCCTCCATGAGCAGGAACCCCAGAGGTCCCCCCTGCAGAGCTCCCTTGCTGCAAGAAGATAGATGCTGACTGCCATGGAGCAGCACCTCCCCACCGCACCCACACCACAGGCATGAGCCCACCTTTCTTGAACTCCTCCAGCATGGCATCGAGCTTGGTGTCGTTGAAGACAAAGTGCAGCGGGTGGTTGTAGAAGCGGGTGATGGTCTTGAGTGGCGTGCAGTCATCGGGGTCCACAAAAGCCAAGTCCTTAACAAAGAGCAAGTCCACGATGTTGGAGCGGTCACCCTCGAAAACCGGGATGCGTGTGTAACCGCTCTCCATAATCTCGGACATRGTGTTGAAGTCGAGCACAGCCTCGGCAGCGATCATAAAGCAGTCTCGGAGTGGAGTCATCACGTCCTCCACAGTCTTGGTGCGCAGTTCCAGGGCTCCTTGGATAATGTTGAGCTCCTCCTTGACTAGATCGTTATAAGGGTCGGTGACCCGCAGCATCTCCAGCAACTTCTCACGGTTATAGACCGTGCCGATCTCCTGGCCCAGGACACAGTCCAGCAACTTGCTGACGGGGTAGGAGGCCGGGAAGGTCATCATCATGAAAAACTTGGTGAGGAAGATGGTGTTGGCGCCCACGGCCAGGCCGTGCCGAGAGCAAATAGCCTGCGGCACGATCTCGCCGAAGATGACGATACCGATGGTGGAGACCACCACGGCCACCAGCCCAGAGCCGGCAATGTCGTCCAGCAGGATGGTAAGCGTGGTGTTGACCAGGACATTGCCCAGCAGGAGGGAGCACAGCAGGTAGTTGCCCTGACGCCGCACAGGCTCGATGCGCTTGGCGTAGTTCTTCTCTTTGTCCGTGCCACAGTTCTGCACGATGCGCAGCTCCATGGGGTCCAGGGCCATCAGGCCCAGGTTGAGGCCACTGAACATGCCCGAGAGGCACAGAAGGAGCGAGATGAAGATAACCTGCAGCCAGAAAGGCAGCAGGAACTTCTTCTCCTCGCCCACGATCATCTTGGTGTCCTCGCCGTCATGGTAGATCCAAGTGGTCTCACCCCAGGGCGGGGGTCCCGCGGGCCCCTCGGCGCCCGCCAGCCCTCCGGGAGCTCCGGGCCCCAGGGCAGCGGCGGCGGGGGCCGAGACGGAGGTGCACAGGTAGTAGGACTTGCTCTTCTCCGTTTTGCGAAGGGGCTTAATCTCGATCTCGATGATGCCCGAGGTGCGGCGGTTGAGCACGATGTGCGGCAGGATGATGATGTCCGAGGTGCGGATGCCGCAGCGCTGCGGGGCTCCGCCGCTGCCCGTCGACCCGCCGCCGCCCCC